CTTTATTCACCTATAATTGTCAGTAAAATTAAATTCTCCTTTCCAATTAGACTAAAATCAAAATGTTTAGCTGTTGAGCCTCTCTGAGCTCTCTATAAATCTCCTCTAACAGGTAAAATAACAGCCATATCTGGCACCCTATCAGTCTCCAACAGTGTTATTATACATTGTACACAATAAAAAGATGGTGACTTTTTTTTTAATTGTCAAAGCCCAACTATAGAAAAGATGTCTTGCTAATGATATTTTTTTCCCTATTAATACTAATGAACCTCTGAAGCCAAGTCTTTCCACTGTTACACCCCCAAGACCTAATCTTGTGTCAGGGATATAGTACCTATTCAATATTTAGTTACTGAATGATTTGAATAGATAAAAGCGTATTGTTTACTAAGGATAGACTAAGACATATAAGGACCTTGCTATCAAGAAGCTTATGTTTATGTGGTGAGAGATGGGAAATGTAAACAAATAAATAAAATAATTTATTCTGGCATAGCTACTAGTATACCTTTGATTAAAAAAAAAAGTCCATATTTATACCACTGAAGGTCATTCTCTTTAACCAAATGAACAACTTCTAGAAGAATAAGCATGGTATGATAGAAGTGGGCATCCCACCAGCCAATTCTGTCTGCTCAAGCCTGGCGAACCAACTTGACCAGCCTTGCATTCTGTCCCTTTAAGAAACAGATGATCCAAGGGGCACCTGGGTGGCTCAGTCGTTAAGCGTCTGCCTTCGGCTCAGGTCACAATCCCAGGGTCCTGGGATCGAGCCCCGCATCGGGCTCCCTGCTCCGCAGGAAGCCTGCTTCTCCCTCTCCCACTCCCCCTGCTCGTGTTCCCTCTCTCACTGTGTCTCTCCCTGTCAAATAAATAAATAAAATCTTTAAAAAAAAAAAAAAAAAGAAACAGATGATCCAAACCACTCAGCTCCAGCAAAACAGCTACTAAAATAAATAGCCGGGGGACAGGGTGTTGCCTGTCTTTCACAAGAGGCTGAAGACTCTACCAGGACAAAGCTTAATTTCAAGTATTCTGCAGCATAAAAACTAAAGACTAATGTTATCTAGGTCTATAGATGCAAAATTGTAATGGTTCACTTAAGAATGCTGTTCCGGGTCAGCTGTATGCATGCCCATCTCAAATGTCTTGCACACATAGTTTTAACTTGTCCCTATCTGATTGAAGGTAAACAGTAGCCCTGGGCAACACTGAAAATCAAGACAAGCCTGAGATGCCTAGCCTCCTCTTTCTGTACCCTGCTCTATTATGCTCACATATTCAGTGTATCAGAAAGGGTTTGTGCAGGAAAATGGAAACCATTCTAAGTATTACAAGTAGATTGCATTTAAATTCAGAGAGCTAGGTGTTTTTTAAATCGTTGGAAGGGCTTGAAGAATGGTAAGCAATGAGATCAACTAGAACACCAAAAAAAATGATTTGGGGGATAACAGGGAGGTTTGGGTTTAGAAATTTAATTTTCAATACAGCCTGAATAAAGAAGACTTTATTTTCTCCAAGAACAAAAATTGCCTATCAAAAAGTCTATTCTAAAGCTCTTAACCCTTTTAAGGAATTGTGACCTCAAAAGCAAATTCCTAAAATTGAGCAAAGTCTGTTCCATGGGACTAAATATTATTTACTCTAAAAACTTAATTTGGAATTTGAAAATAAAAGACATAAAGTTAACATCCAGCATTGAGAGGACTTTTTGAAGTAGAAGAAGCTTTCCAAAGAACAAAGATAATATAATAATTAATCCCAGCCTTTGTCTTTTGTTACAGTATAGTGTAGGTCTAGGTACTTGGGGGCTGTACTGTCTCCTCCTACCTTTTCTAAGCCCTCAGAGTCTGTAAGTGGTTTACAGGCCACAGGTGGAAATATGACCCACTACAGTAGCCCTAGATCTATGGTCTGCTTTCTCACAATCAAGAATTTGACAGTCATTCAAGTATAGAATCACTCTATACTTTAAAGTTGGAAGGGAAATTTTTTAACTTTAATAAAGTACAGTTTAGAGCTTACATGCTTCTAGCACCAAAAACCTACTCTATTTCTCTATTTTTGTTTGTCCTAAGTACTGATGGTTTCCAATTCTCTTTGAAGCTCTGCCCATGCTGGCATTTCCGGCCATTACAGATGCCTATGGCTGTCCTTTGCTTTCCAGAACGGCACAAAGAATCTGCTCCCTCTTCACATGGTGCTTGGCCCTGACTAGCTAAGACAGTGATCATCTCCACAGCTACAGAAGCAAATCATCCTTGGGGGCTTTGATGCTCTGTGCCTTTTTTTCTAAGTCAAAAAAAAAAAAAAAAAAAAAAAGACATCTTACTCCCTTGACTATTTATTGCCCCCAAAAGGATTGGTTACTCATTAAGCAGAGATTGGTTTTTATACCTATCACTTGGTTTTTCTGTTTTCCTTGCTTTGTCAATATTTGTATACAAAAATGGTGTAGTCCTTTGCTGCTTAAATATATTCCAGATCAATGTCCAAAGAACAGGAATATAGTGGACCATCCCTCTGACACAACAGTACTCTGAATTTTTGATCCAGGTTCTACTTTCACAGAGGAAACACCCCATGACCTTCTTATCCTTAGCATCTCCTCAAAAGAACAATGAGAATGAAGAATTAGAGCAGAACCAAATGACATTTAACATGATAATAATACAGGGATTTTCCAAAGTGACCAAAGTAAAACCTTTTTTAAAAATCTAATTATGTATTTATGTAACAGCAGCCACCGGATGTCGTGACTCATCCCAGACCACACTAGGGAGGCACTGATAACAAAGCAGCTGGTCTACAAGTTCAGAAATTCTACCCACATGTAAATATGTAAGACTCGAGTTTTATGACAATGGTAAACAGCATGTAACTAGTCAAGTTGTTATCATTATTTAAAGCAACAGAAACAAATACTGGGTAACTTCAACAAAAATTATCCAGGGAGAGGAAGAGAGGGAATTCATTGAAAGGGAAATGACAGAGAAACCAATGTGTTTGGAAAGAACAGGAACCAGGCAACATCAGTGACAGGCAGCAGGAAAGAATGGACGGTGTGTTTAGTGAGCTATCAAGAGGTATCTTCTGATGCAGCCACTTGCTTTTGGTCCGCTACACTAACTAGTGAAATTTCAGGAAGATGTCTAACCAGCTTTGTTCAAGTCACATGCTTACCCCTTGGCCAGTGAAGGGCTGGCGCTATGACGGACAATGCCACCAAGGAGAAAGGGAATTGAGGCTATGCTGGCAAAAAACACAGATGCCACAGGTACATGAATATATGTGGCTACCAGGCTTCAGAGTAGAATGCAAACCCAACTCTGCCAAAATGTCAAGTAACATGATCACCTTGAACAAGTGGATTCATAGCTTGTTTGTAAGTAACTCTTACTAACCCTTTGTTGTGGACTGAACTGTATCCCCTCAAAGGTCCTATGTGAAAGTCCTCGTGTCCTATGTGAAAGTCCTCGTCCCCTATGTGCCTGTATTTCCAGATAGGGTCTTTAGAGAGGGAATTAAGGTTAAATGAAGTAGGAAGGGCAGTGCTGGAATTCAATAGGGCAAGAAAGGAAGAGGCACCAGGAATGCGCACACACATGAGGAAAGGCCACGTGCAGACACAGAGAGAAGACAGCCATCTTCATGCCAAGGAGAGGGGCCTTCAGAAAAACCAAACCTGCCGACACCTTGATCTTGGACTTCCGGCCTCCAGACTGTAAGAAATACATATCTGTTGTTTAAGTCTCTGGTATTTTGTTATGGTAGCCCTAGCAGATTAATATAGCTTGTAACATTTTTTTAATAAAGTCTAGAGATTTGTGTATCATTTTCAAAAAAAACTGATGAGAAGACAGACCTCCTTTGATCATGGCATGACCCCCACAGACCTCCGGGTGGTTTCAGACTGTACCTTGGAGACGGCTCCAAGAATGCACGTTCAGCCAAGTTGATTTTCTCCGAGAAACTGCTCCAACCTTACTTTCATTTAAACCACAACACATCTTATAAACTAAATAAAACGGACTGTTGACAATTATTACCAGAGTCATTTTCCTCAAAGATGCTCTTGGTCTAAATGAACTTTTCACAGCCCAAGTGTAAAGTATGCCTTAATTTAATTCCATTTTGCAAACAAATACCATATGCTATTGTTTGCAAACACTAAACTAACCTCTGATAACACAGAGAAAAATGAGATCCAGTCCCTGATCCCAAGGAACTCAGAATGTAATGGAGGAGACAATGTGCAAAAATAATTAAAGTGCATTGTAATAATATTTACATTAGGTGTTACAGTACCATGTTTTTCAAACTAGAGTATTATTATTCTACAAGGGTATAAGAAATGATGTCAGAAAATACCCAAATTCATAGTGTACATATGGTTTGTTATCCCACAACATCAATTGTAGTTGAAAACTTGGGGGCTAAAATTGTTACTTAACTGGTGATAGATAAATATTATTTTTATAATTGAGTCTACAATGCAAAATTCAAGTTAGGATAGCAGATCCTGGGATCTACCATCAATCACGTGACCTTGCTATTGAAGCTTTGTGGTTAGACATTTGTGAAAAACACTGAGAGGGACCCAGAGCTTTCATTCCTTCCTCCCCGAACTTCTCTGTATCAACTGATAATGTAAATTTTATGCCTTTTAATCTTTGTGGAATTAATGAGTACAATACTATGTTGGCTTTTAATGAGGTTACCCTCAAGTGATTTTTTTTCTGTAATTCAATGTACCTTGAAAGAAGAAAAAAATTCCCCTTGCCCTACTACATCGAGGTCCCCAAAAGAATATTAAGAATACATATACAGATGAACATTCAAATCCTATTGAAAATGTACAGACTTCTTTGCAGAGTTTAGTTTTTAACAGAGAAAAAAGTCTTCTCACTAGAAGAGATATCTATTATATTTATAAGGATACATATCTAATAAGCATCTTACCTACCAAGATAAAATGAATTTGGCTAGCATCTAAATGCATTTAGATACTTCCCCAGGCCAAGGACAAATAAAACATTATCTAAAAGGAAATGACTAACAGAATTTGCTATCTGAAGTCATACTTTCATCATACTTATAAATGTATTAAAATTACATATTAAATGAGATTGAAGTTAAAATAGTTTCATCTGAAACAAAAAACTTACTAAAAAATAAAACAAAGTGAAATTCTCATTTCTGAGCTGTTTCTCTCTTGTGCATGATCCCTTGTTGATCTCCTGATAGTCTACATTTCCAAGTCTGAAAGTCTGTCAATAGACAGGTATTTATTAAATACTAATTGGGTACAAAGGCCAGTTCCAAGAACAGTGGGGAAATAAGAAAAGCAATATAAGACCTGGTCTCAGCCCTATAAGAGATTCAATTGGAAAAGCAAAACCCACCCTCTGCTTCTTACAGTCTCTAATGGCAAAATTCTGAGTTCAACAGCAGATCATGTCTTTGACTCTAGATGGAAAGCAGGTTAATGGAGTTCCAGAGAACCAATCAAGACAAACCTAGTAAACCAACAAGTTTACAGCTGACATGATCGCAATGCCCAACTTCCTTCTGCACAAAGAGAGTTGCATTAATTAATTTAAGGGAAAAGATGTATCATACAGTTTACAGTTTATATTTTTATAGACTGCCCATTATTTACTAAATTAACCAGCAAATTGCTCCAGGAATTCTCCTTTGTGGATGTAAGAGCAATGAGAATAACTTCTATACTTACATTATTCTTAGTTACTCTTGTTTTCTTCTTTGTTACTTCCTCAGCTTGCTTTACTGGCATCCTCAAACATTCAAACATCACTGTCTTCCTGCAGCTGAGTTCTAGAAATACCAAAGGAAGTGAACAATCTGAAAACACAAAGGAAAAACACAAGCTGAAAATACGGGAGTCTTCTCAAAAATGAACTCAATAGCCTTGAGTACCATTAAGCCAGATGACGTAGACAGTGGTAAATTTTTTGCTGTGGTATACACTAGTAACCATAAATTGATCCTTTTTTTTTTTTTCCAGAAAAATACTGGCACAAAACTTCCTAAACAATGGTCCAACCATTACTGATGCATTTAATGGGAAAAAATAAATTGTTGCATAAAGTTTTTTTAGTACATGCATGTTGTGTTGTTAGTTCTGTATGGATATAGATGATGTTGTAGATTATAAGGTTAAACCAAGACACAACCGTGGGACTAGGCAAGATGAAGAAGCACACAAAGAGAAGAGAAATAAGAAATGAGCCATGAAAGAGGGCACGTTCTGCATGGAGCACTGGGTGTTATATGCAAACAATGAATCATGGAACATTGCATCAAAAACTAATGATGTAATGTATGGTGATTAACATAACATAATAAAAAAAAATAAGCCATGATTTTCAGACCAGATGTTTGTATTTGAGCTAGCATGTTCTTAGAACATAATACGTCATGAAAGATTCTCCTGGGAGGCCAGACATATTTGGAGGGGGAATATTATAACCTCGAGCAAACAATAAACTGTGATGTGGCAAATTTCCTTCCTCATCTATATTTTAGGTCATTTTTGTACAATGTGAGAATAAATTTAGTGGATCCTATCTGGGAGTACCCTTACTAGTGGATCCACAAAACACAACTTGTCACAAGGGTAGAATGAACATCAAAAATCTATTGTACAGACTGTAAACTTTCTTTCAGAATTCACTATCTTTCTCTAAAAGCATCCACCTCCTCCTTCTTACTTGGAGCACTTATAACAACAGTATCAACTGTCTAGATTTGACTCTTGACTTACCCAAGATTACTAATAATCTTAGGAAGTTTACTTAACGTCAAAGGTTTTTTTGTGAAGATTAAATATGATGTGGTACTAATGTACTTAACATACAGTAACTGCTTACTAAATGTTACAGAAAGAGACAAGGAGTAAGAGGTAGGTGATGATATAGATAGATAGATAGATAGATAAAAGATAGATGATAGATGAGAGGTAGGTGATGACAGATAGGTAGATGATAGATAGATAGATAGATAGATAGATAGATAGATAGATAGATAATAGATAGATAAGAGAGAAGGTGCTTTTATTCAATGTTTACTTTCAAAATAATGGTTTATATTACATGGAGTCACAAAGATGTTGTTACATGTGTGAAGTCATAGCTTAAATTTAGACATTTTATAGTTTTTTTTTAAAGATTTTATTTATTTATTTGACAGAGAGATACACGGTGAGAGAGGGAACACAAGCAGGGGGAGTGGGATAGGGAGAAGCAGGCTTCCTGCTGAGCAGGAAGCCCGATGAGGGGCTCGATTCCAGGACCCTGGGATCATGACCTAAGCCGAAGGCAGACGCTTAATGACTGAGCCACTCAGGCGCCCCTATTAAATTTAGACATTTTAATTTGTTTTAAATTAAAACCTTAGTGGTATTGGTTAATTTCATAATAATGCCTGAGAATCCTGTTGAGTGGAAATGCTGCCTGGTTGTCTTCTCTTTGTTCTTAGATAAGGGTTGTCTTCTCTTTGCTAGTTGAAACTTAACAATTTGAAATCAGCATCTTGCATTGTTTTGAGCATTTATTTTTCAAATCAAATTCACTTCTTGGTTGGGTAGGTTCTAACAGTGATATTAGACAAAGTTTCAATGTATTAAAACTGCCAGGAATAAATAATTCATGTACAATTTAGAGCAAAATAATCTAGATAAATACTTTTGCTTGCAGTTATTACAGAATAACTAGTACCAGATTCGCTTCCTGCTAAAGACAATTCTGTACCTAGACAAAGTATATAAAAATACCTCAGCACAGGGGTATTTTCCTTGAGAGGAGGGAAACACACAAAGTGAGGCCCAGTGGAGATTGGCAATCTCCCTGAGCCGAGGAAGCAAGGATAGAGTTCCAGGTGGCTAAAGTGACTGAAATCGGTAGGGCTAGGGAATGGAAAGAGGAAGTCACACAGATAAAGTGAGGCTCACAAGTAAGGTGAGGATTCATTGTAGGCTCTTGGCCCAGAAATTATATTTTACTAGCTACATGGGCATCCTTTAACCCAGTTAAGTTGACACATAAAATTAACCATCACAGGCCTCCTCTGTGACTCCTCTACTTAGAGATAAACTTACTCCAGGTCAGGAAATTATCCAGAGACTACGGAGGCAAACAGTTTAGAAAGTGCTTTTACCAACATTTCCCCTTATACTCAGCAATCTCGTAACCTCCGTTTTAGGAATGAGGGAACTGAGGCTGAGAGAGATTGATAAGGCTTTCGGCATGGTCCTAACTCTGCTGGTTCTGATTCTGGTCTCTCTTCATGACACCACAGCTTTGAGATGAGGAAAACAATGAGATTAGTGACCTGGGCTGGTAAAGAAGGAGGAGACTTGGGGCAGATCATGACAAGGCAGCTGTGAGCAGTTACGGGAATTCCCAACGGGAACCGTGTCAGGGAAGACAGTAGATGTGGTATTTCAGACAGAGGACAGGAACCTGCATCTGCAACCATCCGGTCTCTTCTCTTTTAAAGTTCACTTAAACTTTTCTACTCACTAACAACAGAAGTGATGTGGGTTCTTTTTATTAACTTGCATAAATTGAGGAAAACCTTATAATAGTCTTTCTACTAAACTCCAGGATCATCCTACACCAGAGCAAGGTATTCAAAAGTTCATCATATCTGGCTGAGTTTTAAAGATTTCAAGAGCATGTTCCCTGGGATTTGCTTGGCTATGCACTACCATGCTTCTCTAATATACTTGTGTAACTATTATACAAATTATTGATTTTGCAGGATTCATATTCTCTGCAATTTCTCATTGATTAGTCCAGGGTTGATTTTATTGAAGACTAAACAAGGACCTCCAGGAATTTAAGAAGCCCAAAAATGAATGCAATTCTGGATTTCATTGTATCTACTGAGTCTGATGTGGTAACTTTGCTAGCATTTGTTAGTAGAAATTCCTAAGTACCAGCACAAAGCTGGGAAGCTTCTGGCAATTTTAAGAAAGATTTTTAAGTTCCATAATAACAGTTTATTGAAAGCACCTCTGATTTTCTTGTCCTGCCCTTTTTTATGGGGTTGGTTGTTTTGCTAAATTAGGTTTGAGGTTCACTCGCTTTGTTATAGCACAATGTTAATGAGGCCAAAATGCCAGGCTCTGTCTCTGTAGTGACAAACTGTGCCCCTAACCTCCAGGAGTTTCCCTGGTAGATGAAAGCAGGGAGGATATTTCTACAAAACTGGAAAAACAACATTAGGGCCTGAGCACTGAGATGGGCATCACTTTCATTTATATAAAATAGCAAATTGTTCCCCTCCATTAAAATAGAAAAACCCAAAGGAAATTATTAGTGTCACAGAAGAAATGAAGTTGCAAAAAAAAAAAAAAAGAAAGAAAGAAAATTAGAAGGTCCAAAAATGATTAACAGAGAACCATACCCATAATTTAAAAGATGGAAATTTTCAGCCCTTTGGCTTGAGATGCCCCAGTGATTACTCGGCATAAATGTGCTAAACAGTCCAGGTTGCACATTGAGTAATTAAAATCTGATTAGTTCTTATCGAGTTAGCAAAGGGTGCTGCTTTTTACCCCCCAAACAAATTGGCAATGCACCTGAACATTAAATTTAATTTGTCATTTTGCACATTTCACTGGCCCTATTATAACATACTTAAAAGCACATTTGCCGCTCTGTCCTTCTTTGACATCAGTTCTTTCTACACTATGTACATTAGGTAAATACTAAAATGTAGATAGGACAACATACTTTTAAAATTCTCTCATTTAAGCACATCACATGAGCTCATTGTAATTCATGTTATCAACATTGCTTCTTCTTGGCAGTCACTACCAGCAAAAAATAATAAAATCTGAATGAACAAATTACTGTTTAAACTGCAGTATTTTTGATAATTAGCAGATATATTGAGGGATAAATATGGGGGGTATCTAAAAAGGGAAAAAGGGGATTCAAATTTAAATAGGATTTTTTAATGTTTCCCCCATTGTGCAAAAGTCCATCTTTAATTCATATTACAGTGAGTAATTTGTAATGCTGTGTCAAAATAGATATGCAAAAAGGATATGCATTTGAATTTTAAATCTGATCCCTAAGTTTGAATTTAATATAGCACCCTAACTGAGTCCTGTATGTGGAAGAGGAATTTTGAATCTGTTTTGAATGTCACAAGGATCAGCAATCATGCATAGTGTTATCATTGTTCATTATCTACCATGACTTGTGAAAGGAACATGAAATGGCATTAATCATTATTTTCTACTACTAATAATATACTTTCGATGCAAATTTCACCATTTTCTAACTATCTGGCAGGAGGAACTTCTCCTTCATTGCACCTACAAACCACCCCTTCTCCTTTATTCTTGATTTGCAGCTGGAGGCTTTGGTGACTGATATTTGTGATAAAATGCATCCCCCAAAGGAAAGATTTAGACCTGCTGACATTAAAGAAAAATTGAACTCCTGATCCCAAGCCCAACCTAGAATCATAAAATCACTGAACCTCAAGGGACCTCAGGAGTTATCTAATCCAGCCCTCATTTGTCAGACAGGGCAATAAAGGCCCATTTGGTAGATTGACTTGTCCAAGGTCACCTGGCTTATTAAGGGCAGATAGGGAAATGGAAGCCAGAGCTCCTGACTTCAGGCTGAGTGTTCTTCCCACAGCACAAAATGAGCAGAATAACATCACCTTTAGAAGCAAAGGCTTTGGGATCAAACAGACATAGGTTTGAATCCTGATTCTGCCAATTATTGCTTTAATTTCTACATCTGAAAAATGTGTAAGCTAATGGTACAGACTATGTCATGTCATTGTGAGGATTAAAATGATATAATGCACATAAAGCA